TACAGTTTAATTACTAAGCTTGATAAATTATTGTGGAATTCTATGGTATCAATATTATAATTTATCATTTTTTGGTTATTTCAAATCCTCCATGTGTGAAATTTCATAAGGCTTAACAGCCTACATAAAGGTGCATCTGAGTACAAAGTTGTAACAGAAGAGATAATTGTTTGCTTTACTTCTTTATTTACTGTTCGATGTTTTAAGAAAAATAAGTTTAAGAACTTATTTGTAACTAGTAATAATATATATATACATATGTTATATATAAAAATTGAAATGTGACTGTATTTTACAAAATACCAGTCCACTAAAACACACCCAATACAGGTCACCAAGTAGCTCTAAGTTTGTAACGTTATACATCTATTTATAATTAAATTTTATTGTTTTATTGCCCTTTCAACCATGTCTAACTGCTGTCCACGCCATTATAAGTTGTAAATCACTCGGGTAACGTACGCTATTGAATTACATTACCCACTAGCTGCTCGCATGCATGCCTCGTGAACCATTTTAATTATATTATTACTTATTTTACCTAATTTAAATAACTTAAAAAGATCTGTACCTTTAATTTTAGTTACTTTTATAATAATAAATAAAGAATAAATATGAAAAACAAAAGGATAAACGAATGTAGTTTCATGTTACAATTTGAAGTAATACTAGAAAGAAAAGACTGTTAATTTAGGTTTATTTCAATTTTTCTTGGTGGTTACGAGGTCATTCGAAATGACCAATCCCAATTTTAGATTAGTGTAGAGACAACAAACATATAAACTATAAGGATTTAATGAAAAACGTTTGAAATGCATTTAGGAGGTTTTAGGGATTACACACAGATTTTTGACATGACGAAAAGTATTTTTAATTTTCACATGAAAATTACTTTGCACACAGACTATTCAAAATATATATACTATACAGACTATACTCAATATATTCATGGACAAATCTTTATGTTATTTCTAATGTAAAAGTTATAGCATGAAAACTATAACAAGCACAAAATGGTTAAGAGGTCAGTCCCAGAAACCGAGTCCATGCTGAAAGAGTTTATGCATTGATGTATTTTGCTACATCATTCAAAGTGAGAGCATACAATCACAAACAGGTCTATTCTCAACCCATCGGTGATTAAGAAACTTCAGAGCACTTTTGCTGAATCTAGGCAATTTTGCAGTATTCTTCCCTCCTAGCTGGAGAATCTCTAAACAAATAATACAAACTTTTTAACAAAGCCATTGTCAACAGATCTTGTCTTAAAACTGTTGTGCACAATATAAAGCCCAAACAATCCAACATTTGAAGAACATCGTGTTTTTATTTTACATTGAGGTTCTCCAGTGATTTGACCTACGGTAAATTTTAAATCATTATTTTGTTCATAGCTTTATAATAATTATTTTACAGCAGCTTAATTCACTGAATTTAATATTATCAAAAGGTAAAAATGAAACTTAAACATTTAAAAATTCCCAAATTTCAAAGTCTGCTCTTACCAAGAAATGCTGATCCAAAATAGTGGATGACAACCATCTATTAATTCAACATTATAGTTATCCATTTACTTTTGTCGATCCTTCACGCTCAGCATATCATCAAAGGAACAACAAAATGTCCTCCTAAAGACTGCAATAACAGTTGTTTAAAATGTTCAGTCAAGCCAAATGTACTTAGGTATACAGTCTTTCCATCACCATATTAAAATTATTTATTGATATTTGTGCGAGAATTATATGATCTACGAGAGGCAACATTATGAAGAAATCAAAACAATGCAGCCTTTAGTGCTTCATTTTTTGAGACAAAGCCAATGCAAGGACCACAAGCACTGGTACTTCCTAGTTATGTGCCACTAATCGAGAAACAGGTATGCTACTTTTTCTGAAGAAATCATGATAGGTTTTCTCAAAATCCTTCCCACTTATACAATCTTTGTGTCCTTTACACCCATCTTGCACATTTATTACTTTGTTACAATTGACACACCTTGCCTTATAGTGACATCCTTTGTGGTATCTGTCTCAATTTATGAATTCCTCTTTGTCTGGTCATTTTTTGTTGAATATGCACTTTCCCATGAAAGGCAGTATAATATAGTACTAAATTCATGAAAATGGTCTTACATTAAATGTGACATTCTCAACAAAAATATCAATACAGTAACATTTACTGCCAGTTTCCCTTACTCACTGTTTTGCTTAATACCTTCACTGAAACTGAAAAAATATTTTATCAAAATGGTTTTATGACAGGAAAAAGATTCTGAAGAGAAATTACACTTCTCAGAAATTATGTGAGGATCAGAGTAGTGCAAAAACAAACACAACTAATATAAGTATACAACACAGGAAATAATTTACCTTGCAAAACTTCTGAATGCTCCAAATATATTAAAATAAAGGACATGTTATGATATATATTTTATATGATATTTTGATTTAAGGATTTTTTTCAAATGATTTTTGTTGAAACTAAAGGGCTTTTAAGGCAAGATTAAAGTACAAGGACTTTACAATTGAGAAACTGAAGGGTTTTCACTAGGGTCACAGTGTGATTTAAGGGTTTCATGTGTAGAATTTAATACTCAAAAAAGAAACGTAAAAAGCACTTCAGTGTCAATGAAAAGCTGTATTTAAAATGTACACGTTTACCCTCTGCAATTGGAAAAGATGTTAATGTTCAATGAAAAAAACTATATTTACAATTTACACTGCATGTTGTTTATCTTTATGAGTGCAAAGTAATTTTCACAATAAGATTAAATATAATTTCCTCTGAAAATGTTCAAGTATCATTTGCATAACCCCTAAAACCTCCTAAAAAATATCAAGTGTTGTTTTTCAAAAAAACTTTATATTTTATCTGTTATTTTCCTTACCCTAACTTAATACAAGGTTGGATTGATTTGACTACCATAAAAAAGTTAGGAAATAGTTCAAACTTTCTCTATTTTCTTTCTGAAATGACTGCAAATTATAACAGAAAACCAGAATTGTTTATCCTAAGTAGCTTAAAGGTTATAACAGTATACATCTTTCTATATACTTTTTTTTTTTTGCTTTATTACCCTTTGAACTGTGTCTAACTACTATTCATACATATAAATTGCAAATCATGTGGCAAATATGCAACTCACATTACAATATTGAATCATATAATGCATGTATTAATCACAAGTGTACCTTATAAAAATTAATTATGATTACTTATTTTACTTTATCTAAACTTTCAATTTTTACATTTTAGCTATTTTCATAATAATTAATAAAGAATACACATGTAAAACAAGAAATAAAGTACTTACCTAGGCCCTTTTTTTTGCTGTCAACTGTTGATGACATTTAAACCTACTTTTCTCTTTGTTTACATTAGTGTTAATAGTATACTAAGTATTTTTTTATCTAATTAAATAATGCACCAAAGAACACAGAATAATGACATGCAAAAAGGAAACAATGTTCCATAAGTATCATAATATTTATGGCTTATTAACTGCACAACAAAACCCATTAAATGTTCAGCTAGGTTTGTCAATGTGTTTCCCATGGGAATAAAGTTTTAACTGGAAGGAAAACAAACAATTATCTGCACATACAATAATGTAATATAATACATCATGTGATAGACTAAAACCTTGGCTTTTTATTGGTTATAAATAGTGTTTAATGTCAAAGAAATGTTGGCAAGTTCTGAAAGAGGATGTGCCAGGTGGGCATGGCAAGAGGGGTCTGATTTTCTATTTTATTACTTTGTAACTAAATAAGATTGAAGTTTATGTAAGTCATAATGTGCCTGATCGATAAGAATATTATAATAATTAATTTACATTAAATTTCATACTTCTCAAAGGGGGTAGTAAAAAATTAGGGAAGAGGGAAAACAGATGACAAACATCACAGTTCTCATACAAGGGGAGATTGAGATTTTTTTAAAAATATTTCCTTGTAAAATTAATAACTTAAAACTTAGATAATACTAAACTACATTCTGAGGCCAATTTTATTCATATACACTGATAATAAAGTAGTTTAATTACATTTTGAATATAACTCTGAAAGGTTGTGACATGCACACTCTGACCTACCTGAGGTGAAAGGGTTAATCACAAGGCACTTACTGTTAAAAAGTTGATTGGATAACTGTGTAAAAACTGTATGCTGTTTAGTTTGTTATGCTACAAAATTTGAAGCAAAATACTTGTGTATGGGGCATTTTGTGGTGCGTATTCAGTACACAGGGGTCAAATCTCTTGTGTCCCAACAACTTCTCATTCATATAAGACCCGAGAGTTTGGGTTAACTAGAACCCTGGTAAACCACAAAGAGGATTATAATATTTTCAATGGGACTGGAACAGAGCCTAACTTCTATCTTGGCGACCAAGACACAAGGAAATAAACACTCACTGAATATTCCCGGGCCAAAGAACAGTACATGAAATAAAACTCACAAGTTACCAATCAGTAAGGTACAAATGGGACATAATACAGTTCTACTTCACTGAATGCTATCACAAACTTCAGAGAATGATGAAAACAATATCAGGACAACTCAAGATAATCACAACCTTAGTACTCAACTCAGGTATGGTTGTATCAAGAGGAACACCTGAAAACTACTTCAATACTGTCATGTAATGAATTGATCCAAAGACCATGTATTTGAATGAAGTTACAGGAAGAAATTTTTACAAATAACTAAGACTGATGTAAAAACACTTTTTTTCTTAGAAGGTTCATTACAACTTTTTCTGCAATAAAACTTTTAATAATCATAGAAAATAAACTGTACTATGTGCAGTTAACGAGTGTATATTGCTAAATACAAGTAGGTCAACAATTACAAGAAGCTTAGAGTAGTAATCTGATACTTCAAATCCTGACTTACTACTAATCATTTATATAACAAGTTTGCATTCAAGGTAGTCAATTCAAATCCATTAAGTTAAAAATTTAGTGATCAACTTTAATGGTTTAAATATAGTACACAAACCTGTAACAGGGTCCATATTGTTTTCTAAAGGACGCTTGGTTCCAGTAGCAGCACTGTTATTATCTCCACCACTGGGAGTAAACTTTGCTGCTATCTGTAGAAAGTAAAAAAAAAGAAAAAAAATTAAACACACATTCTCACAAATAAATATTTGTCATTGGTTCTCCATCTGAGAGAAAATCCTCTTTCCCATACTTGTCTTCTGTTTTTTGGCATATTTGGGAGGTATATAAAAGAATTTTGTTTGTTCTTACATTAAACATTCCTGAACTACACAAGTCTTTCAGGCACTATCTTTATCAATGAGATATGGGAACAATGCATTTTTCTTCCCAATTAAAAAATATCAACCCTATAACGTATCCAGATATTACACGGTCATGACCTCCTACTTGTACACAAGATTCTTGTTTGATTTCTAAAAGTCGTGGTATACATATCATAAATAGTATGCAAGGCTAGTTCTAATGTTAAGCTACTGCCACTATTATATTATGCACACAAACCTACCAATTTATTGCTAATAACCTAAGATTTAAAGACATGGATTCCATTTTAAATTTTTTACAAACAATGTAAATCTAAAAATTATATATTTACAATAGAAACACAGAACACCACTCACAATTAAAACTTGATTTATCTGAAACATGTTAGTATACAGTACTATACATACAAAAATTTTATAAATACTTAGTACTATGCACAAGCATTCACAAAATGTAGCAAAACAATAAGTCAGTCAAAACCCAAAAACATTTTATCTGTGACCTAACATTTCTAGGTATGATTGATCAGAATCTCCTCTCATATATTAACATATTTAAATTTGATAATTTACTATATACTTTTAATTTTGGCTTGCAGGAAAACAGACATTAAGAAACAGTGTTGGGAATTCAGTATCATATCAAAGTAGTTGCCAACTTACCAAAGTAAAACTTTTCTAATATCAAAACAAGAAACTCATTTTATAATAAAACTTCTAAAACTGTGGTAAAGTGATTCTTTCTAGTGGAGAATCATTGTGATATTAAAAAAGAAAAGTGACCAAAAGAATCCAAGCATATGCTATGAATTGACTTGTTCTGTAACTGAAGGAATCGAAAGTTCTTCACATGGAGTTCGTTTCATACACATTTGCAGGAATTTTGTAGTAACTCGATGTTAAGTTATAAAAGTATTTTTTTGACTTCAGTATGAGTATAAAATGATCACAAACACAGAAAATTACAATGCCTAAAACTGCCAAATGGAAAAGTGACTTATTACGAAAAAGTCTGAAACTTTTGAGAAAGAAAATGAAACATCAGGATGCAAGTTACAGCAAGAAAGAGATAAGCATATTCAGCAAGTTATGAGGCAATATCCAGTGAAAATAATCCACGAACAAACATGAAATACAGAAGCATGTCAAACTGCTCACCAAGATGCAGTTAGAAGACACAAGCAGTTTCATTACAGAGACGCACACCATTCAGTTTGCCAAGATCCTGACCGAACAGCCACCCATATGGCAGTGTTTCTGCTAGTTTCATATATGATTTTTAATTTCTCTCTAAAGCACGGTATAACAGTACCTTTTTATTCTCCTTTAGTAACCAAAATAAATATTAAAAGAAAACCTATGCATTACTGCCAGTGTGATCTATCCTTTTGTTCTCTTTTAACTCTTTCAGCACTGACCCGGTCCCTGGGACCGACCTCATAAACATTTTGTGCTTGTTATAATTTTCACGCTATAA